TCGGAGGAGGAAGTTAAGGCCGAAACAAATTGCTAACTCGTTTTGCTCGCTGACAAAAATCCATCCTGAGCATGGTTCAGTGTTTGCTAGGTAACAGACTCCATATTTATCCAATGGGGCTGAATTTTGGATATGTTATAGTATACACCCATTGGAACAACTTTCATGAAGAATGTAGCCTCATCCGAGCTATGTAGGTTGCTGAAACAAAGCTTGCAATATGACCTACAGAACTGGACTGGCAGGGGGCTGTAGCCAAAATGAGTTTGTCTTTAAGCTCTTCTTCCCTTCATCCAAATTAGGCCTTAACATGCTTGAATTGCATGAATTATGCTCTCTTGCTCTTTTGGCCTACAAAACACACAAAGGGAGGCAAATAACTCAAAATTATAAGAAACTAAGTAAAAGAAGTAAGTAAATTTGGGCATGTATATGTATGAAATTATGAGCTTAACACATGTGAATGTACAATAAGAAATCTCTACCTTTGATAAGAAAAGGAGAATGTTTCAAGATATGATTCAGTGAATCTTCGGCCGAAGTACTTGAACATGATTTAGAAAGTGGTTTTTAATCATGTTCTATTGAATCACATGAGGTTAATCATATTAGAGGTTTGACATAATCAATCCGTACCCTAATAATATGATTGGAAACATTGTATAAGAGAAGGACCGTATTGCATTGCAATTCAAACTGAATAGGTTCTTCATCTATTCTAATTAGCTTGGGTAGCCTTGATATATTGCTAGATGTCAATCTAGCTGGTGGAAGTCCTATGATTGATTGTGATCGATCCAAATAAAGTAAAAATTAAAAAGAGGTTTTAATTCCAGTTGATTAAAAAGAGTTCTAATATTTTCTCACTGCCTTGCTAAATTAGAACCTAATGGATCGCACACCTTAAATGGTTAACTTTGAGTAATACAAATGAGAATGAGGAAATCAATTTGATTGATTTGATGTGGATGATTTACTACGTGTAAAAACATATTTGGGCCTCAGTAATAGTTAACGGGAAGCCCAAATGGTTGGGTATCAAGCCCAAGGGCTTAAGACATCTAAATATTATGGTTTAAGTGTCATAAGGCCCAATTTTGGAAGCCCATTGTGGTTTGGCAGAAAATGCTTAAGTAAATGTGTATGGGAATTGTTTCTACAAGCTCATTAACACATAAACACAATCCAACATCAACCAAATTGGTTTGGGAGAAAAAAAAAAAGAGGTAAAAGTGATTTTTCAGGAATGAAACATTATCATCTTTCAAGGAGTTTAGATCGAAACCAAGTCTTGGGGATCTTGCAGTAGCATCCTTGAATTCCCAAGATTCTTCCCTCTCATCTCAAGGTTCCATAGGTGTGGAGACTCAGAGGCCATATCCTTTTGTGGCTCACAAGGAGGAGAAAGATCAAAGAGGAGATCAACAAAGGGAAATCATCAAGAGAAGACCAAAACACAACTTGGTTCATATTATAGCTTCAAGGGTAATTAGAACTCACCCTTTTCTCTTGTACTTTCATTTCATGAAATCATATCAATGTTTATGGCTTAAGATACTTGGAAGATGTTTTGTTTTTGAATTTAAACAACCACCATATTCTTCCGCTGCGATTAATTTGATTAAATGCATGTTTAATATTCAAATGAACTTCTGAAAAATGTTTTATCACCAACGCATGGCATGTTAATGAAGCTACAGTTTTCAAGACGTTTTGTTTGTAATGAATTGTTTGGGGTTTTTTTTTTTTTTTTTTTTTTATAAAATTGGATTGGGCTTGTTTTGGGTGCTATTTAAGTTTTTTGTGTTCGGCTTCTTTTAAGTTGATCAATGGCAGTCATGTAATTTATAGGAACTTCAACACCAATTTTTTATGTAGTAAATGAGTTTTGGGTGTGTTTTTAAAGTGCATTCCATGTGGGGGGAATTTGTTTTTTTTTTTTTATTTTTTATAAAAAAAATCAGCCCCTATTTTGGGTATATTAGTGAAGCTCTCTAATAAGAAAGGGTTGAGCAGGTCTTCAGGTCATTCAATCTTAGTCCTCGATTTTTAAAGTGCAATATCAGCCCTTGGATGATGGTACCACCAATGTACCACAGAATTTTCGAGAAAACGATACCAACTCCCATGAAAACCAGCGACAGTAATGTTCCAATTCTACAAGATAGTCATATTGGTTTTTGGAAAGCTTTGAATCGTATAGAAAATTTGATATTTTTCAAACAAGTTTATTACTATATCAATTTTATTTTGTTCTAATTTTCAACTTCAATTTCCTTTTTTTCTTCTTAGAATGTACATAATTCAAACACAATCAGAAATTTTCAGAATGGGCCTCCTTCACCAAATCCACTATGAACTCCTTCAACCGACTCTCTCTTATCTCTCCCTTTCTGCTAAAATATAAGAAATTATAAGAGAATATTTGTTTGTGAGAATTTTCTATGTATTACTCATTTGTAAATGGATCCAATAATTTATTGATGGTTCTAAGCATACAGCAGCCGACGTAAGGCCAAGTCCAGCGGGAGCACAAAACCGGGCAAAAGGCAGCCCAGTCAAGCCAAACAGGCCTCCAGCGCGCAGCCTCAAGCCCGGGCAAGTGGTGGGTTCCACCAACCTGGGCAAGCCCACGGGCAGATCTTGCCTGGGCTGCAGCCCGAAGGCGCTGATGTCACGCTGACGTCAGTGAGCAAAAAAATTCAAAAAAATCCAAAAAAATTCAATTTTTTTTTATAAAAAAAATACCAACAAATTATGGATATTTTCCCCATAAATACATAACAATTTTATTCACTTTCTAAATTGTTTATATTTTGTTGCATAATCTTTTTTTTTCTCTTGCCCTTGCCCTAGCCTTCATGGGTGGAACCAACTAAGGCAAGGCTGCCACTATTCACATGAATAGTGGCAGGCCTTGCCTTGCCTTGCCCTAGCCTTCATGGGTGGACTTGCTCTAAACACACAACAGAAAAGAATGAAGGAAAAAAAAAATACATTTTACGTGAAAGAATTTATTTTATTTCATTTTTTCTTCCCCCAAATCTTGACTCCCTCAGATAGTCATTTGAGAGGTGATTGCTTGTGTTGTGACTTGATATAAGTTAAAGGTACAATTATTACTTACAGAGTATATTGACTTTTTCAATACAGCCGACCAGATAATGTTTTTTAAAATATTAAAGCATCAATAAGGATTATGGGGGGGCGGTTCTGTCCTGAACCAATGGATTCCCCAAAATAATATCAGGATATAAGAAAACTCAATATCGAGCTTACAGAGTATATTGACTTTTTGAATGCAGCCAACCAGATAATGTTTTTTAAAAATATTAAAGCATCAATAAGGATTACAGGAGGAATATTCCCATAGATTCCCCAGATTCAGGAATCAGCCCTATACCTGGAAGCTTCCTTCTTAAAGTATGAGCCCTACAGTACCTACCTGATTATTTTCGTAGCACGGCATCAGTTTTTTTAAAACGCATCAACATCAAACTAGCAAGTTCGTCAACTTGCAACTTAAGCTTCCTCCTCCATGAAAAATAAAAAATACATGTGATGCTGTTGGTATAATCTATGGAGATTCTTGGAAAGGAAAGTTATTCTATTTAAGACGCGCTTACTGTTTCTCAATTTTCCATTTCAACAATAATCAAGACCTTCCTCAGAAAACTCAAACATACCCAGTAATAGTATACACAACAACAATGGCTTCCAAGTCAGTCTTAATCTTTGCTCTTCTGTTCTCTGTTCTCATTCTCTGCCTTCAAGGCACTTATGCTGACCGTATAGAAGGATGGGAAGGTGGCCATGGTTGGGGTGATGCCTCTGACTCTGGTGCAATTGGTAAGTTTCCAAGCCACATTTGTTTTTGTTTTTTCTCCTCTCTCCCTCTCTCTCTCTCTCTCTCTCTCTCTCTCTCTGTGTTTTTCTTCACTTGTGAGTCTCTTAATAATTTCTACCATTATTGCAGGAGGTGGCTTCGGAATTGGAAATTGGGACAACCAAGGGTATGGCTTTAGCAGTGGGTCTTGTTATGAGTTGAAATGTGATAGTTGCTCCAAATGGTGCCTCACTGGTGACGAAGAAAAACAGGAGAAAAGGGCCAAAAGGGGACGCAAGAAGTCCAGGGAAGGCGATGATGAAGAACGTACGGCTGCCCCAAGGAAGAAGAGATGCGAGTGGAAAAAAACACTTAAAGAAAAGTTTATGCTGGCAATCACACACATTGGCTTGGACAGTACGTGTTTCCAATCATCTCAACTCTCTTTTCCTTTCTAATCTACATAATATTTGCCTCTTGTTTTTCTTTTCCTTTTGGGTTCTTGCAGACGCTACGCCAAAGAGAATTCTCGAGTTCATGAATGAGCCACACTTAACTATAAAAAATGTGGCTAGTCATTTGCAGGTTTGTTAATATTCAATTAGACTAGTGGAATTTCTCAATTACTACCTATTTTTATGTTATTTCCTTTCATATATTAGGAGCAAAAAGATTTAGGGCCGGTTCGGTAATATTTTTAGAGCCCATTTTCTGTTTTCGTTTCTTGATTTTCGGCAAACACATGTTCAGTGGATCGTTTTGGTTTTCCCTCACAAAATATTTTCTGAAAACAAATCTAACTTTGTGAACAAAAGTTGAAAACGATAAAATTTTGTTTTCAATTTCAAGGTTTTCGTTTTCTGAAGATACATAAATTCATTTTGTCCCTATCTCTCTTTCTCCAATCAACTGAGGAGCACCACTGTGGAAACCATCTCCTCCGACCCAGACCCATCGTCGTCAACAAGGTCTAAAATATCGATGGTATAGGAAATATCGGTAGTCCAAAAACACGGAAATTTCGATGGAAATATCGGGATATTATTGATATCGATAAAAATTAAATAAAAACCACGGAAATTGTAAGAAAAACTTGGAAATTTTTATTGAAACTTTGGAGGATGTTTATTTAGTCAATTATCTACTAGTTTATCACAAAAAATTGTAAGAAAATGCATTACATGATGGGTTTAACTGATTTAAGTTGATTATATAGCGAGCTGACAAACACTGTGAGTGTAGAAAATATGTAGAAATTAATGAAAGAAGATTAAACACATCATAATCATTTATATATAATGATTTACTACAATATTTTACACTTTATACATTGCACTGTAAGATACATGAGTGACTTAGTACCACATGAAGTTCCCCTTTGCGTATTATCACAAAAACATAAGCAACATGGTGGTTAAGGCGTTGGAGGAGTGAAATGGCAAGGGTTCGAATCCCCTTCGCGTATGTGCTTTGTGTTTTTTTTTTTTTTGCTTTTTCCCATTACATCTATATTTTCGAGATTACAGCGATATTTTGACAAAATATTGCTGAAGTGTGAGTGAAATTATCGACATCGATATTTACCGACATTATTGTCGATATTATCGGTATTTATACGATATGTGTATCGATACTTACCGAAATATTTGTGAACTGAAACAACGATAATATCCTTGATATTTCGTCGATATTTTAGATTATGGTTGTCAACAGCGAGAAATTATAGAATAGTACGGATGTACCACGTCAGCTAATGATTCTCCCATTCAAATTTCGACATGTGTCCATTTTTAAAAAGAAATTAATTACTTTATTACACCTGGACTTACTTAACTTTTATCTTTTAAAATAAAAAAAGAAAGAAAGAAAGAATTTTCCAACCCTTCGTCCCCAACCCAAACACCCATAACCCCCAACCTGTGCCACCCCTATCCTTGCTCTTCCTCTTCAAAATCGGATGCTCAGCAGACAATTCACCTTAGAATCTGATTTTAAACCCAAGTCTTTTATTAGCCAAATCGAATTGAAGAAGATTGTCCTCCAATTGATGCGCTCTGATCACAATGGCAGCACCTTGGGTTACTTGGGCACAGCCCAGCATCCACAAAATCCCAAACACAACACATCTTTACGCACTTGCACCATTGAATTTGCTACCAACACACCCTCTAGTACACTCTCACTCTGCAACACAAAATCAATGGAAGGCACAACCGATGTGGATTGAGTTGAAGTATACTCTGAAAGGTGCTACAGACACCACCCTAGGAATTTGAGCATGGAGTAGCTTCAGAAATGCAAAGGGTCGACAGGAAGAGCAAGGGAGAAGGGTGGCACAGGTTTGAGTTGGAGACGGAGGGTTGGAAAATTCTTAACCACCAAACAACGAAACCAAGAAGAGACAAGAGAGAAGAGAGAGAAATGATTTTTTTTTATATTTTTACAGAGAGTAGGGGCAGATACAATACATCAAGGTGGGATCTGGGAAGGAAGAAGAAAAGAGAAAGGAGAGAAGAGGAAAAAAAAGGGGGGGGGGGG